GCTTTTAAGGCGCGGATGAATTTTCATACCGCTCTATCCTCCCCTCCGATGTCTGCCGCGCCTAACCTGATTATTTGCAAGTACCGGGTGGAGACGTCATCTGCGTTGGCTGGGGAGTTTGAAGAGCTGAATGAATATGGATCCAATGATGCTGCCTTGATAGGAAAAGACAGGAAAAGAGCTTTTCAGGCGGTCGACGGAGATGAATGTGATCCCCCTACGCCAAAGAAACAGTTTGTGGAAGAAAAGGATGTTGCTGATAAGGTGGAGGAAGTCAGCCTAAAATGGTCCCAACCAGATAAATGAGGCTTCTGACCTGGAATGTGAGAGGAATTGGGCCATCCCTCACATTTCAAACTGCTTTGAGTTTGGTTCACTCGAATAAACCGGATCTTGTTTACTTTTCTGAAACACGAGCTCACCGGAAGTTAGTTTCCCGTCGGTTGCGGGGCCTAGGTTTTGAGTCTTCGCACATTTGTTTTGTGGATGCTATTGAAGCATCTGGTGGTCTTGTTGTCGCTTGGTCCCCCGAAGTTGATGCTTCGGTGTTTTATCATTCATATTTTTGTATTGGAATTCGTATTAATGAAACGGAGTTTTCTTATGTGGTCTTTTGTGTTTATATTAGTTGCAACTTGTCTACCAGAGCCAACCAATTGGCTCTTCTTCGTGAAATTTGTGGCGAGATTCGTCTCCCCTACGTGGTGATTGGTGACTTTAACACTACCCTGCATGCACATGAGAAAGATGGGGGAAATGTTTGGAATAGCGCTCAATCGATCAGTCTCCGTAACTTTATCATTGATCTTGGATTGCATGACCCTGGCTATCAAGGGGATACTTTCACTTGGACTAACAAACGTTTCGGTAATGCCTGCATTCGAGAGCGCCTGGATCGAGCCCTTTGCTCTCAATCGTGGGTGGACCAGTTCCCCGAGACTCTTGTTAAACATTTTACTGACCTTGGTTCGGATCATCGGGCTCTACTTCTTGTTGACCGACCCTATGCTCGTCATAGTCGCCCGTTATTACGATTTGATGCTCGATGGGCGAACAACCCTGAAGTGAAGGCGATGGTCAATTATATGTGGCAAGAGTCGATTGCAGGCACCCCGATGTACCAACTCTGGGAAAAACTCAAACATTTGCGACACCTTCTTTATGATTGGAGTAGGGCCGGAACTACCAACTCACTTCGGAATATTAAGACCCTCCAGGGAGAAATTGAGAACCTCAAATCCAATCATCCGATAAATTGGGAGACGGTGAAAGAGTTGGAGGTGGAACTTAATAGACAATGGGAGGCGGAAGAGCTATATTGGCAACAAAAGTTCAGGGTACATTGGCTAAAAAAGGGTGATAAGACACCTCTTACTTCCATACAGTCACTCGTACCAGGAGAAAGAGGAATTTTGTGGCTGGCCTGCATGCTGAGAACGGTGACTGGGTAACTAATGAAAAGGGAAAGGCGCACATTGCCTGTCATTTTTATCAACACTTGTTCACTTCGGAAAATCAAGTGAAAAACATGTTTGATAGGGTGGCGGGCCTTCCCATTGCCCAGAGTGTAACCCAGGAAATGAATGATAAGCTAACGGCAGAGGTCATACCCCAAGAGGTTCGCAACACAGTTTTCGCCATGGGTTCCAAACAGGCTCCTGGCTTTGATGGTTTTACAGGGAAATTTTTTAAAGCCTTCTTGGATATTGTTGGTGAGTCAGTGATTGAAGTTGTCCGCTCCTTTTTTGCGACTAGCAGAATGCTTCGAAACTTCAATCATACCTGGCTGACTTTGATACCCAAGGTTGAAAATGTTGAAAATATGAAGCAACTAAGGCCTATCAACTTGTGCCAATTTGTTTACAAGATCATTACTAAAATTATGGCTACAAGACTGGCTGATATCCTTCCGGGGATTGTTTATGATGGCCAAAATGCATTTTTCCGCGAAAGGCAGATTATTGAGAATGTCCTTGTGGGGCACGAGTTGATGCATTTCTTAAAAATATAGACACAAGGCAAGAAAGGATACATGGCTCTAAAGGTTGACATGGAAAAGGCCTATGATAGAGTCGAATGGTCGTTTCTGCTAGCTGTCTTGGAGAAAATGGGATTTAACTCTGTGTGGAGAGGATGGATTCAGGAATGCCTTCGGTCAACTTCATTCTCGGTCCTCATGAATGGTACCCCTTCAGGGTATTTCACACCTTCCCGAGTACTTAGACAAGGGGACCCCCTTTCCCCCTTTATTATTTGTGCTTTGTATGGAAGGGTTTGCGGCTCTTCTTCGCAAGGTAATAGCGGATATGCGCTTGGGAGGTGTGAAAGTTGCTCCTCGAGCTCCTCGTATCTCACACCTGTTCTTTGCTGATGATTCTTACTTGTTTCTACAAGGGAATCTTCAGGAGTGTGAGAATCTGATAGAAGTTTTGAATGAATATGAGGAATGGAGCGGACAGCGGGTGAACTTAGCCAAATCTGCTATCTGTTTTAGCAAAAACATTGCTCGAGAAGATCAGGAGTTTTTGGCAGCAATTCTGGGGGTGGGAGCGGTGGGGGTCCAAGATAAGTACCTCGGTCTGCCGACTCTGATTGCCAAGTCCAAAATGGCTACCTTCCGCTATCTGGAGGAAAAATTACTGGAGAGATTACAAGGTTGGAAGCAGCGTACTTTATCTTGGGCGGCGAAGGAGACACTGATTAAATCAATTGCCTTAGATTTATCGTTGCATGTCATGTCTTGCTTTAAAATGCCATTGTCCCTTTGTCGGCTTCTAGATAAACATGTATCCCGATTTTGGTGGAGAGTGACGTCTGATCAATCCCAAATCCACTGGCTGTCTTGGCGTAATATGTGCCGAAGTAAACATGAGGGGGGAATGGGTTTCCGTCGTTTTGAACATTTTAATCAGGCTTTACTGGCTAAAATTGGATGGCGGATCCTCTAGGAGCCCCAGTACCTGTTGGCTCAAGTTTATAAAGGAAAGTATTTCTCAAACGGGACCTTTCTTTAGGCTCAAGCATGCTCGCGTCCTTCCTGGGGGTGGCAAGGTGTTTTGTTTGGTAGGCAATTGCTTGAAAAGGGTTTGCGCTGGCATGATGGTCATTCGGCATCTCTGTTGTTCTCGAATTGGATCCCCCGCCTACATCCTGACCTACCAATGTTTAATCCTCGGGTGCTCCCAGAGGGAGGTGATCCACGAGTGGGGGATGTGATTGACCAGAATGGGGGAGGCTGGTGTACTAGTAAACTGAGTCAATGGTTTGACCCTTCTACCTGCCGTATGATTCAATCTATTCCTCTGCCGAGGCAGTCTATGGAGGACAAACTTATTTGAAATGGTACGACGGATGGCGTATTCACTATTAAATCAGCCTACCATCTAGCTGTCGATCTAGATAAGAGACAAGGCTGCTGGAGGTCAATAGCCAGTTGGATGGATAGATCTAGTTGGATTTGGCTTTGGGATGCTGATATTCCACCCAAGCTGAAAGTTTTTCTTTGGCAGATCTTCCACCGTATCCTCCCCACGACCGAGGCTTTACTGAAAAAACGTGTGCATGTTCATCCTCGATGTCCGGTGTGCTGGGGAGGAGCAGAAACAATGGAGCATCTGTTTCTAGACTGTTCGGTGGCTCGGGCCTTATGGGACTATGCGGGATTGGAACATCTTGGGCAAGGGTTGCCACGCCACACATTCCCCTTATTTCTCAAACGGCTATTCTCTCTCATTCATCAACCTTCTGTGATCTTATCGGTGGTGGTCATTCTTTGGCGGATTTGGAAATCCAGGAATTGGGTTCTCTTTGAAGGCAAGCAATTTGGGTTTCCGACCTTGTTGCGTCAATACCATCAGCAATGTGAGGAATGGGAACGGTTGCCCGCAGAAAGTGTGACTTTGGGTCTACGTCCTGCTTCGCACTCGGTAGGGCTTCCTGCGGGTCCCTCAGTGGTGTGTATGTGGGATGGGGCTACGAGAGCTGGGTCTCATTCGGCGGGTGGGATAGTTCTTCTTGGACCGCATAAGGACGTCATTCTAGCTAAAGGAATCCAATTTTGGTCTATTGATGATCCTCTGGTGGTGGAAACTCTTGTCCTAAGGGAAGCTATCTCTTGGTGTATGGGCAATGGGTTCCTCGATGTGCGTTTTGAAGCAGATGCCAAGGTCATTATCGACAAGCTTAATCAAGGAGATACCAGAGATAGTAGGGTTGGGGTGATTTTAGCTTAAATTAGTCAATTTATTGTGAATCACCCTGGGTTTAGCTTACGATTTGTAGGACGGAATAACAATAGGGTAGCCCATGTGGTGGCTAGAAACGCCCTTTCTTTGTATCCGTCTACATGTCGATCTTTCAATTTTCAGGCCTGGCTGTATTCCAGGATGTAAATGCCTTTGTTGAATCTATATATGATTATCTTTTGTAAAAAAAAAAAATTTAACTTGCTAAAATAAGGAAGATTATAGAATATGCATTAATTTTTTCAAATCATAAAACATCCTCCTTGTTTTTTTTTTGTTCAAACTAAAAAATAATATTATGGATCAATATTTTTTACTCAAATTTAATGGTATCCAACACTTTTATAATGTCCTTGGGTCCGCCACTGCATCAAACCACTTAGGACTATAAAAATGTTCGAATTTTATGAATCTTACATGTAACATGAGTTTTTCTTTTATTCAATAGTAGTTATGCAGTGAAATCAATATGGATACTTATATAAGTAGCATTATGATTTTAACTTGCTAAAAATGAGGAGGACTATGGCATATGCATTAATTATTTTTTCCTTCACCATTAAAGAGTCCCTTGAAGAATACAACAAACTCCTTGAGCAAAACATTTACAGGAATTAACATAACAGGAGGCCAGAGAGCAAACTGAATATTTTTGTGGAAACAAATGTGTGTGTGTGAGAAAGCTATACTTTAAAAAGTGGCATTATAAAAAAAAAATTCAATTCGCTGCAAAAACCCTTTTATTTTGCTTTTTGTTCAAGGCTGCTCGTGTCCTCGGGTTTCATCATGAGAATTAGAAGAATCTCCCAATAGAGGCACAACCACACTAGTATTAGTATTACTACTAGTAGAAGATGACGACGTCGATGATGAAGAAGCGCCTGGAACATAATTCCCAACACCACTTCTTGACCTCAAGAACGGAAGTGAAGCGTCGAATGGGAACAATGGAAATCGATGCCTCCTCTCGTTTGGACTCCCAACTTGTTCTCCTCCCCCGAAACTAAAACTAGCACCACCACCATCATTTGAACCATTTGGCTCCATCTTGGAACCATCGTCGTCGTCAGTAGTGGGCATTTGGAACCTGCAAACAGGACAAGAGCTGTGGAGCTCCAGCCAAGGATGGATGCAACCCTCGTGGAACTTGTGCTTGCAAGGCATCTCTTTCGCTTCAGCTCCGAGCTCGAAATCCTCGAGGCAGACCGCACACTGCGAATTGTTCTCGCCAATGGTCACGGTTGGCATTGCATTGACGGCCTCTTTCTGAGCAGGAGGGGTTCCATACCGGTTGGGATCGTTCTCGGCCAAGTGTTGGAGCAACAAGTCCAATCCGGGGCCTACGAGGTAGTCCGCGAAAGAGCGAGTCACGGTAGTAGTAGTAGTTGGAGTGGGAGCAATGTTGTTGTCAGGTCGAGTTGACGAATAATCAGGTGGGCCATGGAGGATCAGAGCACCTTCGTTGAATGGATCGACCAGGATCAGATTACGACTGCTGTTCCTGCTGCTACGACCATACTCATCATCGTCGTCGTTGTTCTCTTGATTATGACGATGGAGGTGGTGGTGGTGATGTTGGGCGAGGGTGGTTTCGGCCCTGGCACGAATATCGTGGAGCAGTCGAAGGAACGAGACCGTGCTTCTCGTCCTCCTCCTCCGGAGTAAGGTCTCGAACTCCCTATCGAGTCGTTGTTGATGGTTTAATTCGTGGTCCTCTTCATTGTCCGCGGTTGCTACATTGTTGGTTCGAGGGGGGGCCGGGAGAGAAGCAAGAGGGGGGCGGTAAGCTCCAAAGCCATCCATTAAGCCGAGCAAGATTGGTGCCCAAAGAGAGAATGCACGTTCTGATTCCACATCAAATCCATTGTTGTCATTGTTGTTATTAGAATAATTAGTATCAATATTGTTGCTATTGCTATTGTTGTTGTTGGTGGTGGTGAGGTCTATTATTGTGTTGTTGTTTCCGCCAGCCACTTCTTCGACAAACCCACTCTCGCAGATGGGGCATTTGACTTCGGGTTCCATGACTGGATTGACCATGCGACTACACATGTGACACCAGTATTGGTTGGCCGCTGCATCCGCCATCTCCCCTCCTTTTGATCTTCAACAATCTAATCCAAAAAAATTTATCAAAAGAAGAAAGCATAAAAAAACCAAAATATTGATCAAACATGTATGAAAATCCAATCTCTACGTAGTCCATTTTGATAAAAACATAGCAACCAATTAAAAACGGGGGATTTCGTCGAATAGTGGACATGCATCTTTCGTTCTTGATAGAAGTATATGAGATGAAAGGGGAAAATGATTCGAATATTTTTTAATTACCTCAAGGATTCAGGAGGTGGGTGTTCATCATCTTTAGGGGCTGGGGTATATTTGTTGATGAGAGATTTGGGGTTTGGAAAATGAGGAGAAAAAAAGAAGAAGAAAGGAGCCTAAAAAGGGATCGTCACATCCTATCTTTTGATTAATTTGTGCCTAAATTTTTGTTGGTTGTCCATTGATGATTAGGTGGGCTTTTTACCGTTAAAATGGTTTCAAGACCAATCAAATTATAGCTCATATTTTTTGTGATTAATTAAAAGTGATGTATAGAAAAGGGCTATTTTTGGATGTTACTATGCTTACTATTTGCATTGCAATAAGACATGTTCTTCTATAGTTGGTGCTTGTTGATTCATGGGGAATCTTTTTAATTCTATATATTTTCTCCATGAATCAAGTTCCTATATTTGTGCATCCCTCCCTCCAAATCCAATCATGGTTTAGTTTTGTCCACAGTTTGCAATCACAAACCATAATCTTACACCGTGTTAGGGAAACGGTAGGAAAGAATCGATTGAAGGCGTGATAAGATCACTCTCCTTAGAGTGTTATTTGCCCCCACTACAAATTGCTGGTAGGCTCGAGCAAACCACCCCCAGGAGTCCCTTCAATTCTAAGTCTGGAAGCAGCAATCTTGCAGACTTCTGTGTTTATGAAATAGAGAAGGAAAATGGGGAGAAGAAGAATTCTCTCATCACTAAAAGAGTTATGACAGTCATCTATTTATAGTTGTGAAAACGGGAAGTTACCTTCCGAAGAGTCACATCCTTTCACAGAAAAAGGTAGTTACCTTTCTGGAAGGACACATCCTTTCACAGAAAAAAGGGAGTTACCTTTCTGGAAGGACACATCCTTTCACAGAAAAAAGGGAAGTTACCTTTCTGGAAGGACACTTCTTTTCACAATATTCAAACGTTAATTAATTAATTAAACTGCCAAAATACTCCATCTTTATACTTTACTTCTCCCATCAATGTCGTATTACAACTCTATTGACTAACTCTAACAATCCCCCACTTAGTCAACAAGAGTTGAGAATACCTGCCTCGAACAAGTAACGCATACATAAAGGTATCTTTTCGATTTGAACCTTTACCTAGTGTAAGCAACTCAAAGTTGATAACGAATCAGTGACGGGCTTAAGCCTAGGAGTCACGATCCAAAGCTATAACCGGAGATGCCACACACGTACTTGTCTCTTCTCTAAACCACAACCACCAACTAGGGTAGCACTATTATGGCCATGTGCTAATCATGTTTCATGAGCATACACAAAAGTTGACCTCTACTTTTGTTAGAGCGGCACCACTCTAAATGCTCACATAGGTGACATTCCAAATGAATTCATTAAGAGTTCTATAACTCATCTCAAGAGTTCTATAACTCACCCTTCTTTGGACTAGTTTACTTGTATAATAAATTAGTACCTCAGTTAGAGTAACTTGTTATTACCACATTGAACCTTTTAATTAGTGAATACCTAAAGAAAAGGTTGGGTTCCCATTACTTCTAACATCACAAGAGGTCTCAATCCCTTCCCTTGGGATGTCTCATAGATCAATGCCTCTTGGCTATTCCTTGGTAAGAGGATCTGCCAAATTATTGCATGATCGAACATACACAATAGAAATGACTCCATTAGAAATCAAATATCTAATGTAATCATGTCTTCGACTAGTAGCTCTAGACTTACCATTGTAAATCTTGTTATAAGCTCTCGACAAAGTAGCTTCACTATCACAAAAGACAGAAATGGCTGACAGCAATTGTGGCCACAACTCTATATCTAACAACATGTTTCTTAGCCATCTGCCTCTTTTCCCGCCTCCGCAAGGGCTAGAAATTCATCTTTCATGATGGAGTGTAATACATGTTTATTTCTTAGGAATCTCAAGAAACAACTCCATCACCTAGTGTAAAAATCCACCCATTGTAGATTTATTATAACTAGCACTCGTTATTCAACTAGTATCAAAACATCTCCCCCACAATTCTACCACTTGCCGAATTATCATGGAATAATTCCATTTTATTTTCCATGGTTTTACTTATTAAACTTTCAACCACTACATTGATCTAATTGTTTACCAATGATATGAACTAATTAGATTAGTATACCACAAACAATTCAGATATTATTAGAAATAGCATCTAATTACTTACCAATGGAATTAGTCAAGGTAACTTGAGATGCCACAAGTAATTCAGTTGCATTTCCAGATTGTATTGGAAATACCATCTAATTACTTACCAATGACAATAATCAAGGTAACTTAACATACCACAAGCAATTCAAATGAATATTCTAAATCAATGGTCTAATTACGTACCAATGGTATGAACTTCATAAATATACCATAAGTAATTCAGACTTTAAGTTTAATACGACCATCTCAATTGAGCTCTCATGCCAAATTGTTTTCCAATAGTATAGTGTACATATACCTTAAACAATTCTGGCAATGATTATTTTGATGATCACCATCCTTTGGCAAGCTTTTTCAATCCCTATAAGGATCCATCTTAGTTTCATTTTCCTTGCCCTCATGGCTATGAAATATGAAGTCATAAACCAATACATGATAAACAAATTATCATGTCAGGGGAAGGCTTTTCACCATAATTTCAATTTACTTCAAGATCATAACTCAAACAATTTTGTTATATAAACCAAATTGTTGCATCTTGCAAGCATAAAAAATTTAAACTCTTACAAATTTTGATGACAAAATTTGTTACAAGAATTCAATGTGAATACTTCCAAATTCAAACACAATTGAATTTTCTTGAACTCTTCTCATAATATGAATTATGAGTTTGTTACCATCTCAAATACTACAAAAATATTTGGTATCACTTAACCAAACAGAATTGGTTCATCATATTTCCTTGCACACAAATTGCATCATGAACATGACCAAACCATGCACAAATCATGAAAGCAAATACGTAGGAAATTAATTCTGTCAATGAAACTTTTAATTTCATACAACAATAGACATGGCAAATTTGCTTAGAATAATCCACTCCATTGCACTATCGGAGATATCACTTTGCATGCCATAGAGTTCCATTAATCATGCCAAATCACACTTTATATACATAATATACGTTCTCCTCTCAAACAAAAGAAACAAAGGTTAATTTAACCATATCACTTGTAACAGAGAACAATCCATAGCAACGTTTCATTCCAAACAGGGGCATATAGATAAAAACCCATAACACAGAAGCATCCACTGCAAGTTCTTATGACGTTTCATGGATGGGAATCAAATGACCAATAAGAAAAAATGGCCAGTTAAGATGCATAACATATCTTGCCATCTAAATCAAGCCCACTGATCTCAACACCGATAATTATAAAGGAACAAGGTGTTACCGGTTCTAGGGATGCCGAACTGCTTTTTTCTTTTCGACATGGAGCAACCAGTAGAAGCAAATTGGATCATTCCATCTTTTCTTCCTTTTCAGTACTGGATCCGTATGCATTGATTCATCATCCATCCGGATGGTACAGGAATTGAGTTCTTCTCTCTAATTAACCATTCAAATTTATCCGAATTTGTGATTCAGAATCCATTTGTTTATTGCATACGCCTTCAACGTACTCTCCACTTCAGAATCCATTTTTGAGAAATAACACTCTAAGATTGTTAGGGAAACGGTAGGAAAGAATCGATTGAAGGCGTGATAAGATCACTCTCCTTAGAGTGTTATTTGCCCCCACTACAAATTGCTGGTAGGCTCGAGCAAACCACCCCCAGGAGTCCCTTCAATTCTAAGTCTGGAAGCAGCAATCTTGCAGACTTCTGTGTTTATGAAATAGAGAAGGAAAATGGGGAGAAGAAGAATTCTCTCATCACTAAAAGAGTTATGACAGTCATCTATTTATAGTTGTGAAAACGGGAAGTTACCTTCCGAAGAGTCACATCCTTTCACAGAAAAAGGTAGTTACCTTTCTGGAAGGACACATCCTTTCACAGAAAAAAGGGAGTTACCTTTCTGGAAGGACACATCCTTTCACAGAAAAAAGGGAAGTTACCTTTCTGGAAGGACACTTCTTTTCACAATATTCAAACGTTAATTAATTAATTAAACTGCCAAAATACTCCATCTTTATACTTTACTTCTCCCATCAATGTCGTATTACAACTCTATTGACTAACTCTAACACACCGGATACAATTCTCATCACTTAGCAGTGTGCTAAATGCCAATTGATTCATAGTAAATTAGCAGGCTTCAGTTTTCAACTAGAAAAGTAATACAAAGTCACTAGTAAGAAAAATGGCATTTTGGGAAAAGTCAAGCACACCCAACGATTTTATGTAATTGTTCATGAAATTCTATAGAATAAAGTCTTGTAGCATTTTTTTTGGTTACAATAGTATTGAATTGGAAGAAGGAAAGTGTGACAAAAAAGAGTAATTTCATCTCCGCTTCTCCTCATCCATCTCGAGCCTCATCACCCATCGCGTGGCCGACCACCTGCCACCTGGAGTTATCAACCTCCAATCACTACCATTCCTTTCTTTATCTAATTTCATAAAATAATTTTTTTATAATTATTTTAATAGTGGGTCAAATTAGTTTTTGTACATCTTTGTTCTTTTTTTCTGTAGTTTTTTCTCTTGTATATTTCGTGTGTGTTTTCCTAGGTAGTAAATTGAAGGTGTGGTGGGAATGTGGCAATGTTAGCTTGTCATGTTTAGGTGGTTTTATTTATTTATTTTTATTTTTTGGGAGATCGTTGG